TTGTTGGCATTTTCGTGTTGTTTATATTTATTTATATTGTTATTTTTAATTAATAATTAATTAACAGTTACCATGTTTTTTTTTTAAGTGGAGCTGAATTGGCTAAAATTTCACACATTTTTGGGTCTAAAATTACCTTCGTAACAATTTTAGGTTCTAAAGGGCACTAGAAATGTCATAGATAAGAATAAGAGCAATAACCATGCACTTTGAAGGCATTTGCGGTCTGAAAACAGAACTCAACTATCCCTTTAAGTCTATTTTTGATCCATAGTGAAATAAAGGTCGATTTCATGAAAACAAAATATATAAAACCGCTGTGTATTTTCCTGAAGAAATAACGTTTAGAAACCAATTTAGTGTCTTATTTCCTCGCTCACTTCACTCGATCACAACATTCAGAAACAGTATGTTTTCAGTCAGTGAGGTGTATGGATACCCACATATCATTAGTCAACGAGGTTATCGAATATAGCTTTCATTTTTATATCGAAATTTTATTTTTACCACACTCGTTCGCTTCACCCGCTCAGGACTTTCAAAAAAAAGAATGTTTCTGTACTATGAGATGCCCGAATATTCTTATATTTGAGCATAGAGGTTACTGAATATTTGACTTTTGTTTTTCATACATAGAGCAGCGTGACCGCACTATCATATCTTATAAAGTCTGTTTTGTTTACAAAGTAATGTTTTCACCATAGTAAAAATTACATTCTTTATTACTCGCTCGCTTCGCTCACTCGCACTTTGTTAGAAAAAATATGTTTCCATACATGTGTACATGGCACTTGATGTGTACTAGAGTGAGAGAAAATAAATCTTCAGATGTAATGATTTGGGATTAGGATGCCGCGAAGCTTTTTATTCCTCAAAAGGGTGACGTCATAATAACAAAAGGTTTTTGAACCAGATTATGAATGCGGGAGAGAGAGAAGAGGGAAGAGAGAGAGAGAGAGAGAGAGAGAGGGGGGGGGGGGGAGAAAGAAAGAGCGTTACCTCTACCTTTTGAACTTGTTGACTGCTCGTCATCAGAAGATTCAATAGAACGTTATCGAGCAATATACGTACGTGCATGTTATAATATAGGATTTCCCGGCCAAATTCGCGTGTTTGTCATTCGAATTCATTTACATTGCATTTAAGTTAGCGCAGATCGGCTTTGCCATGCCAATTATCATTCCATTTTCCAGTTTTTGTATTTAATTTAGGATTTTGGTCGAAGGTTTCATAGATCTGTCATTCAATTTAGAAACTGCGCAACCAGCATTCAAATTAATATTCACTTGTCGAAGCGTAATTTTTATCATTCAAATTAACACCTGTCATTCGTATTCGTAATATTTGTATTCAAGTTGGGAATGTTAGGGGGAAGAATTGCAACAAACTTTTACAGATTTTAATAATGCAGTTAAAATGCATGATTTGCCATTGGGGTCTAAGCTGTTATTCCATTTATTCATTTTCAGGACAATGCAGATGGATGTAGTCAGACATAAAGTAAAGAAGGGAATCAAGGGATATGGCATTTCTGCACGGACATGTTCATATACCCGGGAAAGGTGGGGGTACCCTCAATTGCCCCTTTTTACTACAGACTCGGAATTTTTACAAAAGTAATCCACATCGTCTCTTAACCCAGCACACCCCTCTGTTTTTTTTAAGAGTTTCATAGTTTACTTGCCCGCCAGCAGATCGATGGCTAAAGACTTGGCTAAATAATGAATCATGTCAAATTGTTGACTCTAGTCCCTACCCCAGTCACAATATTGTACCCTTCTTCCATAATGAAATTAGGATAAATTTATGATGAAACATAAGACAAACAACTTCCTTACATGAACATTTACAAATATATTGAGACCATCAGGTCCGTAGATGCAAGTCGTTTCTTTTTCTTCTTAACAATCAAACTTAAATGCTGATGAATATCAGATAAATCTAATAAGTATAAGTGTATAAATGCAAGACAATGAAATATGATGAATACACATGAAAAAACAATCTTGAAAGAAAAAGAATGAGCTATAAAAAGTGTGTAATAAACGAGAAATGTATATTGACCATCAATTTAAGTGCACAAAGTGCTAATTTGAATGCTACAAATGAATTAGAATGCTATCAGTACACCGTTCGCGTTGTCAAAAAATCGTGTTGCGCCAAATCGAATGACCAAATAGCGAAAGAAGCACATTGTTCATTAATTTAAATGAAACATACGTAGATTCTAACGAAAATTCCACAGATTTGAAAACTAGAAAAAGAATATAACCCAAGATATACCTGACTGCACTAAAACCGTCGAATTTGAACGCAAGACAAATTAATTTGAATGACAAACTCGCGAATTTGGCGGGAAATCCTATACAACTTGTTTTCATAGTCAATGGGGTCAGATCGAGCAGTTGAACCTGTCGCGGAAGAAATACAGATTTCGTTAAACGTGGCCATGATCAGGCGCGGATCCACAATGGGGGGCCCGACGGTTCCCCCCCCCCCCTAGCAAAATAAAAACAGGTACAAAAATTAAAATGGTTACGTAAAGTGTCCCTTTTTTAAAAAAAATAAAGTAAAGCGGCCGCCCCCCCCCCCTCCCCCCCCCCCCAAAAAATCACCATTTATTGTTAACGCCGGCTGGCTGATTCGCTGAAATATTTTCTCACGTATTGGGCAAAAAAAAAGGTGCTCTTACCCCCCCCCCCCCCTCGCTTATTTGCTGACTGTCTGAGTCGCCGCTAATATTTCCTCCCAAATTGGAGGGGGAAAGGTGTTCCCCCCCCCCCCCCCCTTCATAACATAGGAAGTGAACGCCTGTCGAGCACTGTGGTGGGGGCGGTTCGAAGGGCCCAAAATTGAGGGAAAATTGTTAAATGTTATTGCCACGGAATGAAACCATTTTTTGAATCTCCCTTCCCTCTCAAGGGTTCTGTATGTAAGATGTATGAAACCTCACAAACCTGACTACCTGAGGAAATACTATTTCGTTACCCTTAATTCAACTTGACTCAAAATGGCACCGAAGCACGACATAGTATATTGAATTCATTCTAGAAAGCGTTTTTGTTTGCTTGTTCAACAAGTATCGACAAAGTAATAGTGATCCAACAGTTGGGAAATGTGTGTTTCTTTCTTTTGTTTGTGCATAATATGTGAGCAATTTGTGGAAAACATATTTTTTCAAGACAAGTTTTCATTATTTAGTTCACAACAAAGGTATGCGAAGTATGCTTTTACCCGACCTGATACAAAACCCTCTATGCATTTGGGCCATTCGAATGTGGTTCTTGAGAGCGGACATAAAATAATCTTTGATCTGCCGAAATTGTAAATCCAAGAGAGAGAGAGAGAGAGAGGGGGGGGGGGAGGGGGGGAGAGAGAGAGAGAGTAAAATTATTAAAAAAAACTTCTTTATGTTTTTTTTTCCTCAGTACACACTAAGAAAAAAATGGTGCAACTATGCACCTTTAGGGGTTCAAACCGATGCAACAATAGCAGCACCTTTAGGGGTTAAATCCTGCACCCTTTTAAAGGTGCAATCCTGCACCCTTTAAAAGGGTGCCAGATTGAACCTTTTAGGGGACATGTTAGTACCCTTTATGGTTCAATCCTGCACCTTAGGGGAGCAAACCGATGCAACAATAGCAGCACCTTTAGGGTTAAATCCTGCACCCTTTAAAGGTACCATGTCCCTTTTGCAGCCAACCTCAAATGCTGTAGAACTTTGCAGGAATTATGAATATGTCATGTATGTCCTATCTTTGAAATTTAAACGTTAGCAGTGTCCTCATATTCAAATTATGCAAGGAAACCTGTTTACTTGCTAGACTTCACTGTCAGACACTTGAGTGACTGACTGGCTTTTTTTTTCTTCTTTGGTAATACCATACATGAAAAGATTTGTAAAGGGTACATGAGCATTTGTCTACATCAATAACCCACTTCTTGTGATGGCCAAGATTAAACTGAATGAATCTTTGCCCAGCATAAAACGTATGACCATTCGGTACAATTGTCTGAAAATCAAGACTATTACTTTTGGGCTCTATAGCCCTAAAGTCGATTTGACAACTAATAGTCATTATTTTCCCACTTGAATACATTTTCAAGCCCCACTTTTTTTAGGGAAGTTCTAAATTAGTATTATCTTTCAAATGCAGTTGGAATTTAACTTTTTCATTTTTTTGGCCTGCAAATGGGACATAGTACCTTTAAGGAGGGTGCCAGATTGCACCTTTTAGGGACATGTTAGTACCCTTAATGGTTCAATCCTGCTCCTTTAGGGGTGCACACCGATGCAAAGGCAGCACCTTTAGGGGTTCAGTCCTGCACCCTTTAAAATGTGCAATCCTTCTCCCATACTCGAGGAATACTCGTGATATTTGCTCGTACACAAAATCATGCATGTTGTTTATTGGTTAGTAATCATATAATCAATGTATCTATTGCTAAAACGTGGATGTAATTGTAACATGATCAGACAAAATAATATATTTGTTTAATGATTGCCGAAGGAAAATTCAAATCACAAAATTGATGCGCATTGTCATAATTTGTTTAACAAATCATGATAAATGTATTTTTTATGTGAACACGTGTAAAGTAATCATAAATATATGCATGCAATATGCAAACTTTTATTTTGCACCCTTTTTGGTCGATAGGGTTCATTTTTGTGGGAAGGGTGCAAAATCTTATTTTGCACCCTTTTTTTAACCCCTTTTTCATCAAAAGGGTTCATTTTTACGTAAAGGGTGCAAACTCTTATTTTGCACCCTTTTTTGCACCCTTTTTTCTTAGAGTGTAGGGCGTGGGGCGTCCGTTGCGCTCATCCCCATTCCCGCACCCAATATGCAGCCTGATAACGGCTCGCCAAAAGTTCAACCAGGCAATTACGAGTCATGGGTGATATTTTACACACGGCACTAATTTAAGTAGCCTTTCATGAATTGTTTAAGAAAAAAAAAAAGAATGTCTGCTGTAAAGCATCTTTCTATCTGAACTACAGACCATACACTCACCAGAAATATATACCGAAATATGAACAGTATTATAGGGCTTAGAAGCTTGTTACAAACATACAAACATAACTCTCCGCTTTGCTACTATCTGCATGTGGGGTAAAGACATCTTGGAAAAAAAGTTTCAAATATGACCGAGAATGGTGGAAATAGGTAAGTCCATTAATCGAATGAATTTTTTTTAATTTTTCCATTTCGATTGGGTTAATAAAGTAATGAAAATCGACTCTTGTTTTTCATAGCGTTGGCATCAGCCACCTCGGGCATTTTGGGCGTTATCTCCAATGTTGTCTACTTGGAACGCTCGAGCTCCTCGAGTGTATTACATGTGATATGGTACAATGTTTATGATTGTAAATTAAAATCAAGTTGAACAGGTTTTCATTCGATATGCATCTTTCATCCAGAACAGGGGTTCTCATACCTATTCCTTGACGTTCAAGATGTAACTTTCATGAAAGCTAAAAGATCCGAAACAACGGACAAATTTAGTTTACTTAATCATTATTATTTCCACGAATATAAGTTTGTGATATTATACATTACGTGTCTTTACACTTACCTTCATTTCTAGAGTAAAAGGTAATGCAAAGTTTTGGAAAATGTTGATAATTGGATACATAGTACTTCTTTAAAATGTCGCTATTTTTGGATGCCCCTGTGGATGTCTTATAAGCACTAAACAATTTATCCCCGAAAACACGTCTTTTTCTTTCCAGAAATTGAAATATCAAATTTTAAATGTTTCAAATAATATTATTATTATTATAAAGAGTTTTTTTATTTACAATTTCATCACTTTAGACTCGATTTCAACCACGACAACGATCATTGAATATTGCTAAATCGCATATGCTTCATTTTAACCAAATTCATGACCCCATACCAAAATTTTGTATTACCTATAAGACAGTCAAGAGTGGAAGTTCTGGTACATAGGGTATATCGGTAGACAAAATAGCACTGTTTAACGGCAATAAGCTGCTAAAACATTGACACAAATGGAGTGATTACAAGACGAAGGCAATAATTAATGCAGATGTTCAGACAATCTATTCCCAAAACTGATCTGAGGGGAATCGTTATAGTTTAATCCTAAGGAGGGGTAGGGGGGGGGGGTTGGGTACCCCCTAGGAATCTCGGCCATGGAACGACGAAAAACAATCAACTTGGCAAGTCCATGAAATGTCATATCTATGTCTCAACTGGTGTTTGAATGATTTATATATCAGCAAAGTGACAACTCTGCATGGTGTACATAACATAAGTATGATGGGGGAGGGGTTCCACTACGCATTACCCTCGGGACCCTTTTGTCGAAATTATACTCTCTCAAAAAATCGAGTGATCACGGACGTCACTCCTCTGGAGAGTGAAAATGTAGTGAAAATAGAGAGAACATTCACTCTTTTCTTCTTAGAGAGCACTCTAAAATCAATCGATTTTCACTCCTAAACAAGTGATCACGGACGTCACTCCAATAAAGTGAAAAAAGAGTGAAAATTCACTCTTTTTTTTTAAAGAGGGTACAAATTTGGTACAACAAGATTCTGCCCCCGGCCATTTTAGGGTAAACAAAAATCAGATCCTGCTCCGCAGTTCTGATTGACATGCCCCGAGCCGTCCGGACTTTGAGAAGCCCTGCGACGTGCCCTATAGGAGATAACCTCCGTCACACTGCCAACCGACTCCAGACCGACTCCAAACCGACTGATTTATTGCCATTGGGGTTAATGTAATTGTTTGATCGGTCTGCTGCTGGTCTGGTGTCGGTCGAGTCGGTGTTGCTGAGGTTCAAATCAGAATTATTGGTGGGGAAGGTTTGAATAGTTTATCCAAGGTCAACGAAAAATCGCTGATTCTAAAAAATGTTGGTCATTATGGACCCTACTATAGACAGTCGATGGTCATTTATAAATTGGTCAAAGGCAGTGGCGTACCTGGGGTACTCCGTCAGGGGGGGGGGGGCAAGCGACCGAAACAAACAAAAAAGGCGATGCTAATTTTCACGTTTCAAGTAACGTTTGGTATATAAACTGGTATTGTTCCAAATGGGGTGGGAACATTCACTTGTTAGCGACGTTAATTTCATTTTTTTGCAAACGAGCGTAGCGAGCAAGAAAAAAATCACTTCTTTTTTAATAATTGCCACTTAAACTTGGTTCAATTGTCCCATGCAGGGCCCGGGAACAATATTGTGTTTAGGGTGATTTTATACCCATTTAAGCTAGCGAGCGAAATACATCTTTCTCTCAATGAATTGCTATATAAAATTTGTTTCATTGTTGCAGGTCGGGGGCGGGCACAATCGTCTTTAAGGCAATGTCAATCCCATTTTGGCGGGCAGGCAACCCCCCTACATTTCTCTTTTTAATGCTATTGTAGCAGGTTAGTGGTGGGCACATAATTCCACGAGCTTGCGAGCGTAGCGAGCGAGCGAAAAAATTCACTTCTCTTTTATAGGGAAAATATGGTACATAAAACTTGGGTTCATTGTTCCATGTCAGGGACGTGATTATTAAAAGCGGTGTTATTTCTATTTTGGCGAGCGAGCGAGTAAAAAAAAAAAAATCACTTCTCTTTTATAGGGAAAATATGGTACATAAACTTGGGTTCATTGTTCCATGTCAGGGATGTGATTATTAAAAGCGGTGTTATTTCTATTTTGGCGAGCGAGCGAGTAAAAAAATTCACTTCTCTTTTATAGGAAATATGGTACATAAAACTTGGGGACGTGATTATTAAAATAGGTGTTATTTCTATTTTTGGCGAGCGAGCGAGTAAAAAAAATCACTTCTCTTTTATAGGGAAAATATGGTACATTAACATGGGTTCATTGTTCCATATCAGGGACGTGATTATTAAAAGCGGTGTCATTTCTATTTTGGCGAGCGAGCGTAGCGAGCGAGCAAATTTTTGTAATGATAATTGGTTCATAAATTTCAGATATTTTTGTTGCAGGGCAGGGCTTACACAATCATGTCTAAGGTGATGTTAATTCCGTTTTGGCGCAGGTCAGGATGGACGCAATCGCGTTTAACGCGATTCAATTCGAAAAAACTCTTCCATTTTTAATGATATTGTTGCAGGTCAAGGGTGGGCACAATTGTTTCCAAAGCAATGTCGATTCATTTTATTCGCGAGCGAGTGTAGCGAGCGAAAAAAATGAATTAGTCTCTTTTAGTAACATTTGGTACATACATTGTGTGTTATTGTTGCCATGGTTGCAGGTCGGGGCACGTCGGGGCAGGCACAATTGTATTCTAGGCAATGCTAATCCTTTTCTTTTTTCAAAAAAAGGGTTGGAAGCAGTTCGCGCCAGCGAAGAGTTTCGAATTTGTTTATCACTTATATTTTCCTATTTTCATTTGTCTTATTTTTTCAGGGCCGTATGCGGAATATTTTTCTGGTGGGGGAGGGGGAAAGATGAGTTAAAAGTTTTCGAAGAATCTCAAAAGCAAAAGGAGTGAAGGGAGTTCAAGCGACCGAACTGGTCATGAGGGTACTTTTGCATTTTCAAAAGTAGAATTGAAGGATTTGGTATAGGCCCACACTACATTTTCAGAAAAAACTGTACGTTTTCAAAATATCTGGGGTCAACTGCCTCCCCCCCCCCCTGTTGCGTACGGCCATGGTCTTTTTTTTTCAATTTCCCCATTTTTTCCTTTCCTTTTCTTTTCCCTTTTTCTTCCTTTTCTCTTCTTCTTTTTCTTTTTCTTTCCTTTTCTTCTTTCCTTTTCCTTTTTTTCTTTTTCTTTCCGTTCCTTTCTTTTCTTTTCTTTCCCCTTTTTCTTTTTTTCCCGTCAGGGGGTGGGGGTGGGGGCACTCTGCCCCCTGCCCCCCCCCCCATAGGTACGCCAGTGGTCAAAGGTAAATTGTTATTATCAACGAAAAGCTTTGCCCTGATGCTAGGAAAAGTAGTCAAATTGACCCGCCTCAACAACAATGTGGTCATATTAAAGGGAAAGTTGAGTTCTGTTGCAGAGGGTGCTAAACAAAATAATTTTTGTGTGAGATAATGAAAAAATGACTGTCAAATTTGAAAGAACATACAATTTTAATGACAAAATCATCTTTGTTTGATCAAATCGGTTAAAGGTCCCATTTGCAGGCCAAAAAATTGAAAAGGTTAAATTCCAACGGCATTTGAAAAATAATACTAATTTAGGACTTCCCTAAAAAAGGTGGGGCTTGAAAATGTCTTCAAGTGGGAAAATAACGACTATTAGTTGTAAAATCGACTTAGGAGCTATAGAGCCAATAAGTAATAGTCTTGATTTTCAGACCATCGTACCGAATGGTCATACGTTTTATGCTGCGCAAAGATTCAATCAGTTAATTTTGGCCATCACAAGAAGTGGGTTATTGATGTAGACAAATGCTCATGTACCCTTTACAGCTCATTTTATGTATGTTATTACCAAAGAAGAAAAAAAGCCGGTCAGTCACTCAATAGTGTCTGACAGTGAAGTCTAGCAAGTAAACGGGTTTCCTCGCATAATTTGAATATTAGGACACTGCTAACGTTTAAATTTCACAGATAGGACATACATGACATATTGATAATTCCTGAAAAGTTCTACAGAATTTGAGGTTGGCTGCAAAAGGGACATAGTACCTTTAAGAGACGGCTGAAATATCTATAAATATAACGATTTCTAATACTTGTGTACCACCGCAAATATTAGATAATTTTAAAAAGCCGTTGAAAAAACGAAATAGCGCCTTTTACGTCGTATTTCAGCCATTGCCGATGTTGGCTTTTTTTGTTGGCATTTTCGTGTTGGTTATATTACGCACAACCAACCGGCCCATGTATTGTTATTTTTTATTAAATAATTTGTTAACGGTCACCGTATTTTTTTATAAAGTGGAGCTGAATTCGTATTGGCTAAATTTCGCACATTTTGGGGTCTAAATTACCTTCATAGCAATTGTAGGTTCTAAAAGGGCACTAGAAATATCATAGCTAAGAATAAGAGCAATAACCATGCACTTTGAAGGCATTTGCGGTCTGAAAACAGAACTCAACTATCCCTTTAACTCTCCCGTTAACTGTGGGCTAAAGTATTAATATTAAATTCTCAGTTTTCTCTCATGCGCCTTTTCATTCGGGACAGTTCTCAAAGTATTATGGATAGCATAAAGGTCGT